TCTCTCTGCTCTCCCCCTGCTCTCTCTCCCTGCTCTCTCCCTCTGCTCTCCCCCTGCTCTCTCCCTGCTCTCTCTCTGCTCTCCCCCTGCTCTCTCTCTGCTCTCTCTCTGCTCTCTCTCTTCTCTCCCCCTGCTCTCCCCCTGCTCTCTCCCTGCTCTCTCTCTGCTCTCCCCCTGCTCTCTCCCTGCTCTCTCCCCCTGCTCTCTCTCTGCTCTCCCCCTGCTCTCTCCCTGCTCTCTCCCCCTGCTCTCCCCCTGCTCTCTCCCCCTGCTCTCTCTCTGCTCTCTCTCTGCTCTCTCCCTGCTCTCTCCCCTGCTCTCCCCCTGCTCTCTCCCCCTGCTCTCCCCCTGCTCTCTTCCCCTGCTCTCTCTCTGCTCTCTCTCTGCTCTCCCCCTGCTCTCTCCCCCTGCTCTCCCCCTGCTCTCTCCCCCTGCTCTCTCTCTTCTCTCTCCCTTTGCTCTCTCCCCCTGCTCTCTCTCTTCTCTCTCCCTTTGCTCTCTCCCCCTGCTCTCTCTCTTCTCTCTCCCTTTGCTCTCCCCCTGCTCTCTCTCTTCTCTCTCCCTTTGCTCTCTCCCCCTGCTCTCTCTCTTCTCTCTCTCTCTGCTCTCTCCCCCCTGCTCTCCCCCTGCTCTCTCCCTTTGCTCTCTCTCTTCTCTCTCCCTTTGCTCTCTCCCCCTGCTCTCTCTGCTCTCTCCCTGCTCTCTCCCTTTGCTCTCTCTCTTCTCTCTCCCTTTGCTCTCCCCCTGCTCTCTCTCTTCTCTCTCCCTTTGCTCTCTCCCCCTGCTCTCTCTCTTCTCTCTCCCTTTGCTCTCTCCCCCTGCTCTCTCTCTTCTCTCTCCCTTTGCTCTCTCCCCCTGCTCTCTCTCTTCTCTCTCCCTTTGCTCTCTCCCCCTGCTCTCTCTCTTCTCTCTCCCTTTGCTCTCTCCCCCTGCTCTCTCTCTTCTCTCTCCCTGCTCTCTCCCTTTGCTCTCTCCCTGCTCTCCCCCCTGCTCTCTCTCTGCTCTCTCTCTGCTCTCTCTCTGCTCTCTCCCTGCTCTCCCCCCTGCTCTCTCTCTGCTCTCTCTCTGCTCTCTCTCTGCTCTCTCCCTGCTCTCCCCCTGCTCTCTCTGCTCTCTCTCTCTGCTCTCCCCCCTGCTCTCTCTGCTCTCTCTCTCTGCTCTCCCCCCTGCTCTCCCCCTGCTCTCTCTGCTCTCTCTCTCTGCTCTCCCCCCTGCTCTCTCTGCTCTCTCTCTCTGCTCTCCCCCCTGCTCTCCCCCTGCTCTCTCTGCTCTCTCCCTGCTCTCCCCCCTGCTCTCCCCCGTGCGTAAAGGCGCAGACCCACCTGTCTGCGGGAGGTCGCCGTGGAGCTGGAGTGGCGGGAGTTCTTGCAGCTGGTGTTGTTGTTGTTCTTCTGGTTGTTCTTCTGGTTCTTATGGTCCTTGGTGTTGGAGGGCAGCGGGTTCAGGAACAGGATCCTCCCGATGAGACCGTAAAGCACCGCGGACAGCAGCAGAGGCACCACGAAGAACACGCCGAAGTCAAAGAAGTAAATGGGCAGATAGTACTTCCTGGAGACTCTGTAGCCGCAGGTGGTGATGGTGATGTTGTCATAAACCAGCTGTTCTAAGTCGGACAGGTAGAACCACATGACGCAGTAGACAGACGTGAGCGTCCACACGGACACGATGATGCGTTTGGCCCTGGACAGCGTGCACAGGAACTGGGCTTTGATCGGGTGACAGATGGCGATGTACCTCTCGATGGTGAAGGCGGTGATGGAGCAGGAGGACGCGTTGATGCCGAGGTACTGGAAGTATGTGATGCACAGGCACCCGTAGTGTCCGAACACCCACGAGGCGAACAGGCTGTCGGCCATCGTAGGCAAACCCGCGGAGATGAGCACCATGAGATCTGCCACTGCCAAACTGACCAGGTAACAGTTTGTGGGGGTCCGCATGTGCTTCGTGGTCAGAACCACCAGGATCACCATCACGTTCCCGACCACCCCCAGAGCGCAAATGGTGAAGAGCAGAAAAGTACTGACCACCTTGTACTGGAGGCTGTGGTCGCTCCATGCTCCCAAAGTCTGATTCTGAGCGCGCTCTGAGCTGGAGTTGTCCATCTTTACGCACGGCTGTTCCCTCTGGAGTCAGATCTGTGGATCAGAGAGAGCTGTCCATCTTTACGCACGGCTGTACCCTCTGGAGTCAGATCTGTGGATCAGAGAGAGCTGTCCATCTTTACGCACGGCTGTTCCCTCTGGAGTCAGATCTGTGGATCAGAGAGAGCTGTCCATCTTTACGCACGGCTGTACCCTCTGGAGTCAGATCTGTGGATCAGAGAAAGCTGTCCATCTTTACGCACGGCTGTTCCCTCTGGAGTCAGATCTGTGGATCAGAGAGAGGGAGGTGCATGCGCTGTGCCCATGGGAGGAACTGACAGCTCTGAGAGCGTCGCCTGTTGCCCTGTTAGTGCGTGGTCAGAGACAGAGACACAGAGAGACAGAGACACACAGAGACAGAGAGAGACAGAGACACAGAGAGACAGAGAGAGACAGAGAGACAGAGAGACAGAGAGAGACAGAGAGACAGAGAGACAGAGAGAGACAGAGAGAGACAGAGAGACACAGAGAGAGCCAGAGAGACAGAGAGACACAGAGAGACAGAGAGAGACAGAGAGAGACAGAGAGAGACAGAGAGAGACAGAGAGAGACAGAGAGAGACAGAGAGACACAGAGAGACACAGAGAGACACAGAGAGACACAGAGAGACAGAGAGAGACAGAGAGACAGAGAGAGACAGAGACACAGAGAGACAGAGAGACAGAGAGACAGAGAGAGACAGAGAGACAGAGAGACAGAGAGAGACAGAGACACAGAGAGACAGAGAGAGAGAGACAGAGAGACAGAGAGACACAGAGAGACAGAGAGAGACAGAGACACAGAGAGACAGTACACTAGATTTAAAATCTAGTTAGAAAAAAAGTGTGTCTCAGTCATTGATAAGTTACTTTAGCTTCATTATCCTGACCTCTGACCCCTGACCCCGGGTTTTGGTTCTCTGAGAGAGTTTAGTCCGAGAACATTTTGACGCAGGTTCTTTATGAAGTGGGGGTCTGTAGTTTAGCCCTCTGATGACTCTTTCACTCTAATTATAATGTGGCAGAATGATCCAGTCTAAGAAAACATGAGGATGTTGGAGAAACAACAGTTTTTTATTCTGTGCAAAGAAAGTTTTATATTTAATTTGTAGTAAAAAAGCACAAAGTGGGAAAACACATGATGTATGTGTTTGAATAGTTTGATTCTCTAATCTGCTGTGGGCAAAAGGACAACGTTATAACGTCCCCATGAGACTGTTATTCAAGGACATAGAATCAGAAACAGTCAAATGTGAAATAAAGTCAGGATTAAACCCAGAACATGAGGTCGAAGATTTATGTCAAATCCACACAAAATATGTTCACATTTACATGTGACAAAGCCGCCCCGAACCAAGCCGTCCTGCACCAAGCCGTCCTGCACCAAGCCGTCCTGCACCAAGCCGTCCTGCACCAAGCCGCCCTGCACCAAGCCGCCCCGCACCAAGCCGTCCTGCACCAAGCCGCCCTGCACCAAGCCGTCCTGCACCAAGCCGCCCTGCACCAAGCCGCCCCGAACCAAGCCGTCCTGCACCAAGCCGTCCTGCACCAAGCCGTCCTGCACCAAGCCGCCCTGCACCAAGCCGTCCTGCACCAAGCCGTCCTGCACCAAGCCGTCCTGCACCAAGCCGTCCTGCACCAAGCCGTCCTGCACCAAGCCGCCCTGCACCAAGCCGTCCTGCACCAAGCCGCCCTGCACCAAGCCGCCCCGAACCAAGCCGTCCTGCACCAAGCCGTCCTGCACCAAGCCGTCCTGCACCAAGCCGTCCTGCACCAAGCCGTCCTGCACCAAGCCGTCCTGCACCAAGCCGCCCTGCACCAAGCCGCCCCGCACCAAGCCGCCCTGCACCAAGCCGTCCTGCACCAAGCCGCCCTGCACCAAGCCGTCCTGCACCAAGCCGCCCTGCACCAAGCCGCCCCGCACCAAGCCGCCCTGCACCAAGCCGCCCCGCACCAAGCCGCACCAAGCCGCCCCGCACCAAGCCGCCCCGCACCAAGCCATAACGTGCCGCTCCACAACGCCCCGCACTACGCCGTACCACCAGCACCGTGCAAAGGAGGTGGGGCCGCCGTGTGATGATTTGTTGCTGTTGCCACAGAAGATTGTTAGTCAAATTGTAATGAATATGATGATTAGAGCTGTTTGTCTCCCCATGTAAAATTTGGCCTCAGGAGGGGCGCTAATGGGCCAATTTCAAATATTTCACTTTCACCTGACCTAAACCTTGGAGTTGAACAATGGATTCAAGTTTAATGCAAATCAGACTTTGTTTGTGCAAACGGGAAAAAAATTAATGTTGTCAAAAACGGCCAAAAAAAGGTCACATTTTGCCGCTCCGCTGCTCAAACAATGTTTCACTGATCATAAATCCCTTTGGTCATTTTGAAGGTAAATGTGTTGAGATGATGTGGAGCGATTTTGAGGCGAATCGGTGAAACGGCCGAGGAGGAGTCGCTTTCCAACCGACATGTATGAAAATTATTGCGGATCATTTTTCCATTTTGCAGTGAAATGTATGGACTTCCTGTTTGTCAGAGGGCGGGGCCATAATAATATTTTGGTCGTATCTTGACTTGAGGAACATGTGTACCGAATTTCATGGCTCTACAACAAACTTGACCTCTGAAACTCCCATTGGCTGTTGTAGGTGGCGCTGTTCTGGCATTTTTTGAGTCACATAAAAATAAACACCAAAATATCACATTTTTCACCAGGTCTGATGTTTGGGCAAAATTTTACAACTTTTCATGCATGTTCAGGGGGTCAAATTAAGACTCAAAGTGCAGAATTTGACATCTCTCGAGCAAAACAATAGGCCCTTTCCCCGTTCGGGGCTCGGGCCTAATAACAATAAGAGACAGAGACACAGAGACATTATTAATACTGCTCCCTGCGGAGAATAAACTTTATAAAGAACCAACAGAACTCACTCTGGATATTTGAAAAGAAGGACTCTACTGCCCCCCGCTGGACACTCACCGCCACTGCAGCTCTTCGTCTTCTATAATCTGTTGTTTTCTTCTTCCTCATGGAGAGAATCTGAGAAACTCTGAAAAACTCTGAGAAACTCTGAGTTAGAGATGAAACATGTGTAAGTTTAAAGTTAGAGATGAAAGGTGTAAGTTTAAAGTTAGAGATGAAACGTGTAAGTTTAAAGTTAGAGATGAAACATGTGTAAGTTTAAAGTTAGAGATGAAACGTGTAAGTTTAAAGTTAGAGATGAAACGTGTAAGTTTAAAGTTAGAGATGAAACATGTTTAAGTTTAAAGTTAGAGATGAAACATGTGTAAGTTTAAAGTTAGAGATGAAACGTGTAAGTTTAAAGTTAGAGATGAAACGTGTGTAAGTTTAAAGTTAGAGATGAAACGTGTGTAAGTTTAAAGTTAGAGATGAAACGTGTGTAAGTTTAAAGTTAGAGATGAAACGTGTAAGTTTAAAGTTAGAGATGAAAAGTGTAAGTTTAAAGTTAGAGATGAAACGTGTAAGTTTAAAGTTAGAGATGAAACGTGTAAGTTTAAAGTTAGAGATGAAACGTGTCAGTTTAAAGTTAGAGATGAAACGTGTGTAAGTTTAAAGTTATAGATGAAACGTGTAAGTTTAAAGTTAGAGATGAAACGTGTCAGTTTAAAGTTAGAGATGAAACGTGTGTAAGTTTAAAGTTAGAGATGAAACGTGTGTAAGTTTAAAGTTAGAGATGAAACGTGTAAGTTTAAAGTTAGAGATGAAACGTGTGTAAGTTTAAAGTTAGAGATGAAACATGTAAGTTTAAAGTTAGAGATTAAACGTGTGTAAGTTTAAAGTTAGAGATGAAACGTGTAAGTTTAAAGTTAGAGATGAAACGTGTGTAAGTTTAAAGTTAGAGATGAAACGTGTGTAAGTTTAAAGTTAGAGATGAAACGTGTCAGTTTAAAGTTAGAGATGAAACGTGTGTAAGTTTAAAGTTAGAGATGAAACATGTAAGTTTAAAGTTAGAGATTAAACGTGTGTAAGTTTAAAGTTAGAGATGAAACGTGTAAGTTTAAAGTTAGAGATGAAACGTGTGTAAGTTTAAAGTTAGAGATGAAACGTGTAAGTTTAAAGTTAGAGATGAAACATGTAAGTTTAAAGTTAGAGATGAAACGTGTGTAAGTTTAAAGTTAGAGATGAAACGTGTAAGTTTAAAGTTAGAGATGAAACATGTTTAAGTTTAAAGTTAGAGATGAAACGTGTGTAAGTTTAAAGTTAGAGATGAAACGAGTGTAAGTTTAAAGTTAGAGATGAAACGTGTAAGTTTAAAGTTAGAGATGAAACGTGTAAGTTTAAAGTTAGAGATGAAACGTGTGTAAGTTTAAAGTTAGAGATGAAACGAGTGTAAGTTTAAAGTTAGAGATGAAACGTGTAAGTTTAAAGTTAGAGATGAAACGAGTGTAAGTTTAAAGTTAGAGATGAAACGTGTAAGTTTAAAGTTAGAGATTAAACGTGTCAGTTTAAAGTTAGAGATGAAACGTGTAAGTTTAAAGTTAGAGATGAAACGTGTAAGTTTAAAGTTAGAGATTAAACGTGTCAGTTTAAAGTTAGAGATTAAACGTGTCAGTTTAAAGTTAGAGATTAAACGTGTAAATTTAAAGTTAGAGATTAAACGTGTAAGTTTAAAGTTAGAGATTAAACGTGTCAGTTTAAAGTTAGAGATTAAACGTGTAAGTTTAAAGTTAGAGATTAAACGTGTAAGTTTAAAGTTAGAGATTAAACGTGTCAGTTTAAAGTTAGAGATTAAACGTGTAAGTTTAAAGTTAGAGATTAAACGTGTCAGTTTAAAGTTAGAGATTAAACGTGTCAGTTTAAAGTTAGAGATTAAACGTGTCAGTTTAAAGTTAGAGATTAAACGTGTCAGTTTAAAGTAGTAAGTAATGTTTATTTATATACCGCCTTTCACAGACCAGAGTCACAAAGTGGTTTACAATTGTTAATTTTGGGCACTTGTCTCTCACTCCACAGAGAGATGGGAGGGGCCAGTACAGGAGGCACATGCTAGAACTATTGGACATATTTTTAGTGGTAGGGGAAACCGGAGTACCCGGAGGAAACCTACGCAGACACGGGGAGAACATGCAAACCCAACTCAGAAAGGCCCTGGTCCGACCGGGATTCGAACCCAGGACCTTCTTGCTGAGAGGCGAGAGTGCTATCCACTCTGCCACCGTGCCGCGTTGTTCTGATCTTTAAGGTTAAAGCTGATGTCTAAAGGGTATTTCATTTCAACATGTCCAGGATTTGAACTAATTTCTGTCCAATCAGGCGGCAGAGGGAGGGGCCTAACTTTGGATGTTTCTTCACTTTAAAGCTGGGGTACCTAACTTATGTATTTGTTCTAACATGTGTTGTGCAGTGAAAATACAGTGAACAATGGAGGAGGAGGCTCAGGAGGAGCATCAGGAGGAGGAGGAGGAGGCAGCTCAGGAGGAGGCTCAGGAGGAGGAGGAGGAAGAGGAGGAGGCAGCTCAGGAGGAGGAGGAGGCTCAGGAGGAGGCTCAGGAGGAGGAGGAGGAGGAGGAGGAGGAGGCAGCTCAGGAGGAGGCTCAGGAGGAGGAGGAGGAAGAGGAGGAGGCAGCTCAGGAGGAGGAGGAGGCTCAAAAGGAGGATCAGGAGGAGGAGGAGGAGGAGGCAGCTCAGGAGGAGGAGGAGGCTCAAAAGGAGGATCAGGAGGAGGAGGAGGCGACTCAGGAGGAGGAGGAGGCTCAGGAGGATCAGGAAGATCAGGAAGAGGAGGTGGTAGATGGTATGGCTCATACCATCGAGAGAGAGCCAAACTAAGCAAGCCTGAACATGTCATGTCCCATGTCCTCTCCATGTCCTCTTCCATGTCCTCTCCATGTCCTCTCCCATGTCCTCTCCATGTTCTCTCCCATGTCCTCTCCATGTCCTCTCCATGTCCTCTCCCATGTCCTCTCCATGTCCTCTCCATGTCCTCTCCCATGTCCTCCCCATGTCCTCTCCATGTCCTCTCCATTTCCTCTCCCATGTCCTCTCCATGTCCTCTCCCATGTCCTCTCCATGTCCTCCCCATGTCCTCTCCATGTCCTCTTCCATGTCCTCTCCCATGTCCTCTACATGTCCTCTCCCATGTCCTCCCCATGTCCTCTCCATGTCCTCTTCCATGTCCTCTCCATGTCCTCTCCATGTCCTCTCCATGTCCTCTCCCATGTCCTCCCCATGTCCTCTCCATGTCCTCTCCATTTCCTCTCCCATGTCCTCTCCATGTCCTCTCCCATGTCATCTACATGTCCTCTCCCATGTCCTCCCCATGTCCTCTCCATGTCCTCTTCCATGTCCTCTCCCATGTCCTCCCCATGTCCTCTCAATGTCCTCTTCCATGTCCTCTCCCATGTCCTCTCCCATGTCCTCTCCATGTCCTCTCCCATGTCCTCTCCGAGGTCCTCTTCATGTCCTCTCCGAGGTCCTCTCCATGTCTTCTCCCATGTCCTCTCCATGTCCTCCCATTTCCTCTCCCATGTCCTCTCCATGTCCTCTCCCATGTCCTCTCCATGTCCTCCCCATGTCCTCTCCATGTCCTCTCCCATGTCCTGTCCCATGTCCTCTCCATGTCCTCTCCATGTCCTCTCCCATGTCCTCTCCCATGTCCTCTCCCATGTCCTCTCCCATGTCCTCTCCATGTCCTCTCCCATGTCCTCTCCATGTCCTCTCCCATGTCCTCCCCATGTCCTCTCCATGTCCTCTCCATGTCCTCTCCCATGTCCTCTCCCATGTCCTCTCCATGTCTTCTCCCATGTCCTCTCCATGTCCTCTCCATTTCCTCTCCCATGTCCTCTCCATGTTCTCTCGCATGTCCTCTCCCATGTCCTCTCCATGTCCTCTCCATGTCTTCTCCCATGTCCTCTCCATTTCCTCTCCGTGTCCTGTCCCATGTCCTCTCCCATGTCCTCTCCCATGTCCTCTCCATGTCCTCTCCCATGTCCTCTCCATGTCCTCTCTCATGTCCTCTCCATGTCCTGTCCCATGTCCTCTCCCATGTCCTCTCCATGTCCTCTCCCATGTCCTTTCCATGTCCTCTCCATTTCCTCTCCCATGTCCTCTCCCATGTCCTCTCCATGTCCTCTCCCATGTCCCTCTCCCAAGTCCTCTCCATGTCCTCTCCCATGTCCTCTCCATGTCCTCTCCCATGTCCTGTCCCATGTCCTCTCCATGTCCTCTCCATGTCCTCTCCCATGTCCTCTCCATTTCCTCTCCCATGTCCTCTCCCATGTCCTCTCCATGTCCTCTCCCATGTCCTGTCCCATGTCCTCTCCATGTCCTCTCCCATGTCCTCTCCATGTCCTCTCCCATGTCCTCTCCATGTCCTCTCCATGTCCTCTCCCATGTCCTCTCCATGTCCTCTCCATGTCCTCTCCATGTCCTCTCCCATGTCCTCTCCCATGCCCTCTCCATGTCCTCTCCCATGTCCTCTACCATGTCCTCTCCATGTCCTCTCCATGTCCTCTCCATGTCCTCTCCCATGTCCTCTCCATGTCCTCTCCATGTCCTCTCCATGTCCTCTCCATGTCCTCTCCCATGTCCTCTCCCATGCCCTCTCCATGTCCTCTCCATGTCCTCTCCATGTCCTCTCCATGTCCTCTCCATGTCCTCTCCCATGTCCTCTCCATGTCCTCTCCCATGTCCTCTCCCATGTCCTCTCCATTTCTTCTCCCATGCCCTCTCCATGTCCTCTCCATGTCCTCTCCATGTCCTCTCCCATGTCCTCTCCATGTCCTCTCCATGTCCTCTCCATGTCCTCTCCCATGTCCTCTCCCATGCCCTCTCCATGTCCTCTCCATGTCCTCTCCATGTCCTCTCCATGTCCTCTCCCATGCCCTCTCCATGTCCTCTCCATGTCCTCTCCATGTCCTCTCCATGTCCTCTCCATGTCCTCTCCATGTCCTTCCTCATGTCCTCTCCCATGTCCTCTCCATGTCCTCTCCCATGTCCTCTCCCATGTCCTCTCCATGTCCTCTCCCATGTCCTCTCCATGTCCTCTCCCATGTCATCTCCATGTCCTCTCCTTTGTCCTCTCCATGTCCTCTCCCATGTCCTCTCCATGTCCTCTCCATGTCCTCTCCCATGTCCTCTCCCATCTCCTCTCCCATGTCCTCTCCATGTCCTCTCCCATCTCCTCTCCCATGTCCTCTCCATGTCCTCTCCCATGTCCTCTCCATGTCCTCTCCCATGTCCTCTCCATGTCCTCTCCATGTCCTCTCCCATGTCCTCTCCATGTTCTCTCCCATGTCCTCTCCGTGTCCTCTCCCATGTCCTCGCCATGTCCTCTCCCATGTCCTCTCCATGTCCTCTCCGTGTCCTGTCCCATGTCCTCTCCCATGTCCTCTCCCATGTCCTTTCCATGTCCTCTCCCATGTCCTCTCCATGTCCTCTCCCATGTCCTCTCTATGTCCTCTCCATTTCCTCTCCCATGTCCTCTCCATGTCCTCTCCCATGTCCTCTCCATGTCCTCTCCCATGTCCTCTCCATGTCCTGTCCCATGTCCTCTCCATGTGTCCCATGTCCTCTCCATGTCCTCTCCCATGGCCTCTCCATGTCCTGTCCCATGTCCTCTCCCATGTCCTCTCCATGTCCTCTCCATGTCCTCTCCCATGTCCTCTCCATGTCCTCTCCGTGTCCTCTCCGTGTCCTCTCCATGTCCTCTCCATGTCCTCTCCATATCCTCTCCATGTCCTCTCCATGTCCTCTCCGTGTCCTCTCCATGTTCTCTCCCATGTCCTCTCCGTGTCCTCTCCCATGTCCTCGCCATGTCCTCCTCCGTGTCCTGTCCCATGTCCTCTCCATGTCCTCTCCGTGTCCTGTCCCATGTCCTCTCCCATGTCCTCTCCATGTCCTCTCCCATGTCCTCTCCCATGTCCTTTCCATGTCCTCTCCATTTCCTCTCCCATGTCCTCTCCCATGTCCTCTCCGTGTCCTCTCCATGTTCTCTCCCATGTCCTCTCCATGTCCTCTCCATGTCCTCTCCCATGTCATCTCCATGTCCTCTCCTTTGTCCTCTCCATGTCCTCTCCCATGTCCTCTCCCATGTCCTCTCCATGTCCTGTCCCATGTCCTCTCCATGTCCTCTCCATGTCCTGTCCCATGTCCTCTCCATGTCCTCTCCCATGGCCTCTCCATGTCCTCTCCCATGTCCTCTCCATGTCCTCTCCATGTCCTCGCCCATGTCCTCTCCATGTCCTCTCCGTGTCCTCTTCATATCCTCTCCATGTCCTCTCCATGTCCTCTCCGTGTCCTCTCCATGTTCTCTCCCATGTCCTCTCCGTGTCCTCTCCCATGTCCTCGCCATGTCCTCTCCATGTCCTCTCCGTGTCCTGTCCCATGTCCTCTCCATGTCCTCTCCGTGTCCTGTCCATGTCCTCTCCCATGTCCTCTCCATGTCCTCTCCCATGTCCTCTCCATGTTCTCTCCCATGTCCTCTCCCATGCCCTCTCCATGTCCTCTCCATGTCCTCTCCATGTCCTCTCCCATGCCCTCTCCATGTCCTCTCCATGTCCTCTCCATGTCCTCTCCATGTCCTCTCCATGTCCTCTCCATGTCCTCTCCCATGTCCTCTCCATGTCCTCTCCCATGTCCTCTCCCATGTCCTCTCCATGTCCTCTCCCATGTCCTCTCCATGTCCTCTCCCATGTCATCTCCATGTCCTCTCCTTTGTCCTCTCCATGTCCTCTCCCATGTCCTCTCCATGTCCTCTCCCATGTCCTCTCCCATCTCCTCTCCCATGTCCTCTCCATGTCCTCTCCCATGTCCTCTCCCATGTCCTCTCCCATGTCCTCTCCATGTCCTCTCCCATGTCCTCTCCATGTTCTCTCCCATGTCCTCTCCGTGTCCTCTCCCATGTCCTCGCCATGTCCTCTCCCATGTCCTCTCCATGTCCTCTCCGTGTCCTGTCCCATGTCCTCTCCCATGTCCTCTCCCATGTCCTTTCCATGTCCTCTCCCATGTCCTCTCCATGTCCTCTCCATGTCCTCTCCATGTCCTCTCCCATGTCCTTTCCATGTCCTCTCCCATGTCCTCTCCATGTCCTGTCTCATGTCCTCTCCATGTCCTCTCCATGTCCTGTCCCATGTCCTCTCCATGTCCTCTCCATGCCTCTCCATGTCCTCTCCCATGTCCTCTCCATGTCCTCTCCCATGTCCTCTCCATGTCCTCTCCCATGTCCTCTCCATGTCCTCTCCGTGTCCTCTCCGTGTCCTCTCCATGTCCTCTCCATATCCTCTCCATGTCCTCTCCATGTCTTCTCCGTGTCCTCTCCATGTTCTCTCCCATGTCCTCTCCGTGTCCTCTCCCATGTCCTCGCCATGTCCTCTCCATGTCCTCTCCGTGTCCTGTCCCATGTCCTCTCCATGTCCTCTCCGTGTCCTGTCCCATGTCCTCTCCCATGTCCTCTCCATGTCCTCTCCCATGTCCTCTCCATGTTCTCTCCCATGTCCTCTCCCATGTCCTTTCCATTTCCTCTCCCATGTCCTCTCCCATGTCCTCTCCATGTCCTCTCCATGTCCTCTCCATGTCCTCTCCCATGTCCTCTCCATGTCCTCTCCCATGTCCTGTCCCATGTCCTCTCCATGTCCTCTCCATGTCCTCTCCCATGTCCTCTTCCATGGCCTCTCCATGTCCTCTCCCATGTCCTCTCCATGTCCTCTCCCATGTCCTCTCCATGTCCTCTCCGTGTCCTCTCTGTGTCCTCTCCGTGTCCTCTCCCATGTCCTCTCCATGTCCTGTCCCATGTCCTCTCCCATGTCCTCTTCCTGTCCTCTCCCATGTCCTGTCCCGTCCCATTTCCTCTCCCATGTCCTCTCCATGTCCTCTCCATGTCCTCTCCCATGTCCTCTCCATATCCTCTCCATGTCCTGTCTCATGTCCTCTCCATGTCCTCTCCATGTCCTCTCCCATGTCCTCTCCCATGTCCTCTCCATGTCCTCTCCATGTCCTCTCCATATCCTCTCCATGTCCTCTCCCATGTCCTCTCCATGTCCTCTCCATGTTCTCTCCATGTCCTCTCCATGTCCTCTCCCATGTCCTCTCCATGTCCTCTCTATATCCTCTTCATGTCCTCTCCATGTCCTCTCCCATGTCCTCTCCATGTCCTGTCCCATGTCCTCTCCATTTCCTCTCCCATGTCCTCTCCATGTCCTCTCCCATGTCCTCTCCATGTCCTCTCCCATGTCCTCTCCCATGTCCTCTCCATGTCCTCTCAATGTCCTCTCCCATGTCCTCTCCCTGTCCTCTCCATGTCCTCTCCCATGTCCTCTCCACGTCCTCTCCACGTCCTCTCCATGTCCTCTCCAATGGCCCCTCCATGTCCTCTCCCATGTCCTCTCCATGTCCTCTCCCATGTCCTCTCCATGTCCTCTCCCATGGCCTCTCCATGTCCTCTCCCATGTCCTCTCCCATGTCCTCTCCATGTCCTCTCCGTGTCCTCTCCATGTCCTCTCCATGTCCTCTCCGTGTCCTCTCCATGTCCTCTCCAATGGCCCCTCCATGTCCTCTCCCATGTCCTCTCCATGTCCTCTCCCATGTCCTCTCCATGTCCTCTCCCATGGCCTCTCCATGTCCTCTCCCATGTCCTCTCCCATGTCCTCTCCGTGTTCTCTCCGTGTCCTCTCCATGTCCTCTCCATATCCTCTCCATGTCCTCTCCCATGTCCTCTCCCATGTCCTCTCCATGGCCTCTCCATGTCCTCTCCCATGGCCTCTCCATGTCCTCTCCCATGTCCTCTCCCATGTCCTCTCCATGTCCTCTCCCATGTCCTCTCCATGTCCTCTCCGTGTCCTCTCTGTGTCCTCTCCATGTCCTCTCCATATCCTCTCCCATGTCCTCTCCATGTCCTGTCCCATGTCCTCTCCCATGTCCTCTTCCTGTCCTCTCCCATGTCCTGTCCCGTCCCATGTCCTCTCCATGTCCTGTCCCATGTCCTCTCCCATGTCCTCTCCATGTCCTCTCCCATGTCCTCTCCATATCCTCTCCATGTCCTGTCCCATGTCCTCTCCATGTCCTCTCCCATGTCCTCTCCCATGTCCTCTCCATGTCCTCTCCATGTCCTCTCCATATCCTCTCCATATCCTCTCCCATGTCCTCTCCATGTCCTCTCCACATCCTCTCCATATCCTCTTCATGTCCTCTCCATGTCCTCTCCCATGTCCTCTCCATGTCCTCTCCACATCCTCTCCATATCCTCTTCATGTCCTCTCCATGTCCTCTCCCATGTCCTCTCCATGTCCTCTCCCACATCCTCTCCATATCCTCTCCATGTCCTCTCCATGTCCTCTCCATGTCCTCTCCATATTCTCTCCATGTCCTCTCCATGTCCTGTCCCATGTCCTCTCCATATCCTCTCCATATTCTCTCCATGTCCTCATCCATGTCCTCTCCATATTCTCTCCATGTCCTCTCCATGTCCTGTCCCATGTCCTCTCCATATCCTCTCCATATTCTCTCCATGTCCTCTCCATGTCCTGTCCCATATTCTCTCCATGTCCTCTCCATGTCCTCTCCATGTCCTCTCCATGTCCTGTCCCATGTCCTCTCCATGTCCTCTCCATGTCCTCTCCCCATGTCCTCTCCATTTCCTCTCCCATGCCCTCTCCATGTCCTCTCCATGTCCTCTCCATGTCCTCTCCATGTCCTCTCCCATGTCCTCTCCATGTCCTCTCCCCATGTCCTCTCCATGTCCTCTCCCCATGTCATCTCCATGTCCTCTCCTTTGTCCTCTCCATGTCCTCTCCCATGTCCTCTCCATGTCCTCTCCATGTCCTCTCCCATGTCCTCTCCATGTCCTCTCCCATGTCCTCTCCATGTCCTCTCCCATGTCATCTCCATGTCCTCTCCTTTGTCCTCTCCATGTCCTCTCCCATGTCCTCTCCCATGTCCTCTCCATGTCCTGTCCCATGTCCTCTCCATGGCCTCTCCATGTCCTCTCCATGTCCTGTCCCATGTCCTCCCCCATGGCCTCTCCATGTCCTCTCCCATGTCCTCTCCATGTCGTCTCCCATGTCCTCTCCATGTCCTCTCCCATGTCCTCTCCATGTCCTCTCCGTGTCCTCTCCATGTCCTCTCCATGTCCTCTCCATGTCCTCTCCGTGTCCTCTCCATGTTCTCTCCGTGTCCTCTCCCATGTCCTCTCCCATGTCCTCGCCATGTCCTCTCCATGTCCTCTCCGTGTCCTGTCCCATGTCCTCTCCATGTCCTCTCCGTGTCCTGTCCATGTCCTCTCCCATGTCCTCTCCATGTCCTCTCCATGTCCTCTCCATGTTCTCTCCATGTCCTCTCCCATGTCCTCTCCATGTCCTCTCCCTCCATGTCCTCTCCATGTCCTCTCCATGTCCTCTCCATGTCCTCTCCATGTCCTCTCCATGTCCTCTCCCATGTCCTCTCCATGTCCTCTCCATGTCCTCTCCATGTCCTCTCCATGTCCTCTCCATGTCCTCTCCATGTCCTCTCCCATGTCCTCTCCCATGTCCTCTCCATGTCCTCTCCCATGTTCCTCTCCATGTCCTCTCCATGTCCTCTCCATGTCCTCTCCCATGTCCTCTCCATGTCCTCTCCCATGTCCTCTCCATGTCCTCTCCATGTCCTCTCCATGTCCTCTCCATGTCCTCTCCATGTCCTCTCCATGTCCTCTCCATGTCCTCTCCCATGTCCTCTCCATGTCCTTCTCCAATGTCCTCCCATGTCCTCTCCCATGTCCTCTCCATGTCCTCTCCCATGTCCTCTCCATGTCCTCTCCCATGTCCTCTCCCATGTCCTCTCCATGTTCTCTCCCATGTCCTCTCCGTGTCCTCTCCATGTTCTCTCCATGTCCTCTCCCATGTCCTCTCCATGTCCTGTCCCATGTCCTCTCCATGTCCTCTCCCATGTCCTCTCCATGTCCTCTCCCATGTCCTCTCCATGTCCTCTCCATGTCCTCTCCATGTCCTCTCCATGTCCTCTCCATGTCCTCTCCCATGTCCTCTCCATGTCCTCTCCATGTCCTCTCCCATGTCCTCCTCCATGTCCTCTCCCATGTCCTCTCCATGTCCTCTCCATGTCCTCTCCCATGTCCTCTCCATGTCCTCTCCCATGTCCTCTCCATGTCCTCTCCATGTCCTCTCCATGTCCTCTCCCATGTCCTCTCCATGTCCTCTCCATGTCCTCTCCATGTCCTCCCATGTCCTCTCCATGTCCTCTCCCATGTCCTCTCCATGTCCTCTCCATGTCCTCTCCATGTCCTCTCCATGTCCTCTCCATGTCCTCTCCATGTCCTCTCCATGTCCTCTCCCATGTCCTCTCCATGTCCTCTCCATGTCCTCTCCATGTCCTCTCCCATGTCCTCTTCATATCCTCTCCATGTCCTCTCCCATGTCCTCTCCCATGTCCTGTCCCATGTCCTCTCCATGTCCTCTCCATGTCTCTCCATGTCCTCTCCCATGTCCTCTCCCATGTCCTCTCCATGTCCTCTCCCATGTCCTCTCCCATGTCCTCTCCATGTCCTCTCCATGTCCTCTCCCATGTCCTCTCCATGTCCTCTCCATGTCCTCTCCCATGTCCTGTCCCATGTCCTCTCCCATGTCCTCTCCCATGTCCTCTCCATGTCCTCTCCCATGTCCTCTCCATGTCCTCTCCCATGTCCTCTCCCATGTCCTCTCCCATGTCCTCTCCCATGTCCTCTCCATGTCCTCTCCATGTCCTCTCCCATGTCCTCTCCATGTCCTCTCCCATGTCCTCTCCATGTCCTCTCCATGTCCTCCCTCCCATGTCCTCTCCATGTCCTCTCCATGTCCTCTCCATGTCCTCTCCATGTCCTCTCCATGTCCTCTCCATGTCCTCTCCATGTCCTGTCCCATGTCCTCTCCCATGTCCTCTCCATGTCCTCTCCCATGTCCTCTCCCATGTCCTCTCCATGTCCTCTCCCATGTCCTCGTCCCATGTCCTCTCCCATGTCCTCTCCCATGTCCTCTCCCATGTCCTCTCCCATGTCCTCTCCCATGTCCTCTCTCCCATGTCCTCTCCATGTCCTCTCCATGTCCTCTCCATGTCCTCCTCCATGTCCTCTCCATGTCCTCTCCATGTCCTCTCCATGTCCTCTCCCATGTCCTCTCCATGTCCTCTCCATGTCCTCTCCATGTCCTCTCCATGTCCTCTCCATGTCCTCTCCCATGTCCTCTCCATGTCCTCTCCCATGTCCTCTCCATGTCCTCTCCATGTCCTCTCCCATGTCCTCTCCATGTCCTCTCCATGTCCTCTCCCATGTCCTCTCCATGTCCTCTCCATGTCCTCTCCATGTCCTCTCCATGTCCTCTCCCATGTCCTCTCCATGTCCTCTCCATGTCCTCTCCATGTCCTCTCCCATGTCCTCTCCATGTCCTCTCCATGTCCTCTCCCATGTCCTCTCCCATGTCCTCTCCCATGTCCTCTCCATGTCCTCTCCCATGTCCTCTCCATGTCTCTCCCATGTCCTCTCCCATGTCCTCTCCCATGTCCTCTCCCATGTCCTCTCCCATGTCCTCTCCATGTCCTCTCCATGTCCTCCCATGTCCTCTCCATGTCCTCCTTCCATGTCCTCTCCCATGTCCTCTCCATGTCCTCTCCATGTCCTCTCCCATGTCCTCTCCATGTCCCTGTCCTCCCATGTCCTCTCCATGTCCTCTCCATGTCCTCTCCATGTCCTCATCCATGTCCTCTCCATGTCCTCTCCATGTCCTCTCCATGTCCTCTCCATGTCCTCTCCATGTCCTCTCCCATGTCCTCTCCATGTCCTCTCCATGTCCTCTCCATGTCCTCTCCATGTCCTCTCCATGTCCTCTCCATGTCCTCTCCATGTCCTCTCCCATGTCCTCTCCATGTCCTCTCCAGTCTCCCATGTCCTCTCCATGTCCTCTCCATGTCCTCTCCATGTCCTCTCCATGTCCTCTCCATGTCCTCTCCATGTCCTCTCCATGTCCTCTCCATGTCCTCTCCATGTCCTCTCCATGTCCTCTCCATGTCCTCTCCCATGTCCTCTCCATGTCCTCTCCATGTCCTCTCCATGTCCTCTCCATGTCCTCTCCCATGTCCTCTCCATGTCCTCTCTCCATGTCCTCTCCATCTCCCATGTCCTCTCCCATGTCCTCTCCATGTCCTCTCCCATGTCCTCTCCCATGTCCTCTCCATGTCCTCTCCATGTCCTCTCCATGTCCTCTCCATGTCCTCTCCCATGTCCTCTCCATGTCCTCTCCATGTCCTCTCCCATGTCCTCTCCATGTCCTCTCCATGTCCTCTCCATGTCCTCTCCCATGTCCTCTCCCATGTCCTCTCCATGTCCTCTCCATGTCCTCTCCCATGTCCTCTCCATGTCCTCTCCATGTCCTCTCCATGTCCTCCTGTCCTCATGTCCTCTCCATGTCCTCTCCATGTCCTCTCCCATGTCCTCTCCTGTCCTCTCCCATGTCCTCTCCATGTCCTCTCCCATGTCCTCTCCCATGTCCTCTCCATGTCCTCTCCCATGTCCTCTCCCATGTCCTCTCCATGTCCTCTCCATGTCCTCTCCCATGTCCTCTCCATGTCCTCTCCATGTCCTCTCCATGTCCTCTCCCATGTCCTCTCCATGTCCTCTCCATGTCCTCTCCATGTCCTCTCCATGTCCTCTCCATGTCCTCTCCATGTCCTCTCCATGTCCTCTCCATGTCCTCTCCCATGTCCTCTCCATGTCCTCTCCATGTCCTCTCCCATGGTCCTCTCCATGTCCTCTCCATGTCCTCTCCCATGTCCTCTCCATGTCCTCTCCCATGTCCTCTCCATGTCCTCTCCCATGTCCTCTCCATGTCCTCTCCCTCATGTCCTCTCCCCATGTCCTCTCCATGTCCTCTCCATGTCCTCTCCATGTCCTCTCCCATGTCCTCTCCATGTCCTCTCCCATGTCCTCTCCATGTCCTCTCCATGTCCTCTCCCATGTCCTCTCCATGTCCTCTCCATGTCCTCTCCATGTCCTCTCCCATGTCCTCTCCATGTCCTCTCCCATGTCCTCTCCATGTCCTCTCTGTCCTCATGTCCTCTCCATGTCCTCTCCCATGTCCTCTCCCATGTCCTCTCCCATGTCCTCTCCCATGTCCTCTCCATGTCCTCATCCATGTCCTCTCCCATGTCCTCTCCCATGTCCTCTTTCCATGTCCTCTCCATGTCCTCTCCCATGTCCTCTCCATGTCCTCGTCCCATGTCCTCCTGTCCTCTCCATGTCCTCTCCATGTCCTCTCCCATGTCCTCCCGTGTCCTCTCCATGTCCTCTCCCATGTCCTCTCCCATGTCCTCTCCCATGTCCTCTCCCCATGTCCTCTCCCTCTTGTCCTTCCATGTCCTCTCCCATGTCCTCTCCCATGTCCTCTCCATGTCCTCTCCATGTCCTCTCCATGTCCATCTCCATGTCCTCTCCCATGTCCTCTCCATGTCCTCTCCATGTCCTCTCCCATGTCCTCTCCCATGTCCTCTCCCATGTCCTCTCCATGTCCTCTCCATGTCCTCTCATATCGTCCTCCCCATGTCTCTCCATGTCCTCTCTCCATGTCCTCTCCATGTCCTCTCCATGTCCTCTCCCATGTCCTGTCCCATGTCCTCTCCATGTCCTCTCCCATGTCCTCTCCATGTCCTCTCCCATGTCCTCTCCATGTCCTCTCCCATGTCCTCTCCATGTCCTCTCCCATGTCCTCTCCATGTCCTCTCCCATTTCCTCTCCATGTCCTTTCCATGTCCTTTCCCATGTCCTCTCCGTGTCCTCTCCGTGTCCTCTCCATGTCCTCTCCATATCCTCTCCATGTCCTCTCCCATGTCCTCTCCGTGTCCTCTCCATGTTCTCTCCATGTCCTCTCCATGTCCTCTCCATGTCCTCTCTCCCCATGTCCTCTCCATGTCCTCTCCGTGTCCTCTCCGTGTCCTCTCTGTGTCCTCTCCATGTCCTCTCCATATCCTCTCCATGTCCTCTCCCATGTCCTCTCCGTGTCCTCTCCATGTTCTCTGCCATGTCCTCTCTGTGTCCTCTCCGTGTCCTCTCCGTGTCTTCTCCGTGTCCTCTCCATGTCCTCTCCATATCCTCTCCATGTCCTCTCCCATGTCCTCTCCATGGCCTCTCCCATGTCCTCTCAATGTCCTCTCCCATGTCCTCTCCATGTCCTCTCCGTGTCCTCTCCATGTTCTCTCCCATGTCCTCTCCGTGTCCTCTCCGTGTCCTCTCCCATGTCCTCTCCCATGTCCTCTCCCATGTCCTCTCCATGTCCTCTCCATGTCCTCTCCCATGTCCTCTCCATGTCCTCTCCGTGTCCTGTCCCATGTCCTCTCCCATGTCCTCTCCATGTCCTCTCTATGTCCTCCTTGTCCTCTCCCATGTCCTCTCCATGTCCTCTCCCATGTCCTGTCCCATGTCTTCTCCATGTCCTCTCCCATGTCCTCTACATGTCCCTCTCCCATGTCCTCTCCCATGTCCTCTCCGTGTCCTCTCCGTGTCCTCTCCATGTTCTCTCCAATGTCCATAAACTATAAAGTGCTGTAAAACTTTGAACTTCCTTGTGAGATTCTCAATCATAATAAAACCAGTTTTGAAATGACTGTTATCACCTACCAGACCAGACCAGACCAGACCAGAGACCAGACCAGAGACCAGACCAGAGACCAGACCAGACCAGAGACCAGACCAGACCAGACCAGACCAGAGACCAGCTTTAGATGAAGTTGAAACTAGAGAATGGAGTCAGTGTTGCTCTCGGAGGTGACTCAGGGAAAGTTACAGCGATGCCCTTTACATCAAACACAACATGTTTAAATCTGTCTCTGAGCTCACTGTCCTACTGACACTGTTCTACTGACACTGTCCTACTGACACTGTCCTACTGACACTGTCCTACTGACACTGTTCTACTGACACTGTCCTACTGACACTGTAATGCTCCTGGGGTCAGTACTTGGCCTGATTCTACTGACACTGTAGCGCCCCTGGGGTCAGTACTTGGTCTGATTCTACTGACACTGTAGCGCCCCTGGGGTCAGTACTTGGTCTGATTCTACTGACACTGTAGCGCCCCTGGGGTCAGTACTTGGTCTGATTCTACTGACACTGTAGCGCCCCTGGGGTCAGTACTTGGTCTGATTCTACTGACACTGTAGCGCCCCTGGGGTCAGTACTTGGTCTGATTCTACTGACACTGTAGCGCCCCTGGGGTCAGTACTTGGTCTGATTCTACTGACACTGTAGCGCCCCTGGGGTCAGTACTTGGTCTGATTCTACTGACACTGTAACGCCCCTGGGGTCAGTACTTGGTCTGATTCTACTGACACTGTAGCG